TATGACATGCGGTGAGGTTCAATGTCCTTGAGTTTGACACCGTATAGTCCACAGAAAAAAATAAATTACATACTTAACATCAAAATTAACGAGCACCCACACATAGCGACCTACCCCAGCAGCAGCTCAGGTGAGCGGTACCACCTGGTGGCCACGTACTCGGTGTAGTTGGCATCTGTTCCTTCAGACAGGTTACGAGCAAACCCTGAGCCGGAGGAGGACAGAGATAATTGAATCAAGTAGACTTTATTTTGTCAACAGCAAATGCATAAATGACCAATTAATAACAGGAAAGGACATTCAGTATCTAAATTGCTTGGACAGCCACAGTGACAGCATGGTAATGTTTGCCATGTGACCAGACTAATTAGTTATGTGACTGCAGGCGATCTGAGACTCCACTTTAGATAACTGGTGTAGAGAGAATCCATTTTAAGCAAGGAAAAGTCACAGTAAACAGAATGCCAGCTCCAACAGTGAATACCAAACAAATCTCACCCCAGCTGACTCAGTGGGTTGGCATTAGCCAATTATTCAGAGCCAGCTGACCGTGTCAGTTTTGCAAATACGCGTCCAAATGTAAAATACACACCTAGAGCACCGTGAAAGGGCAAATCCATGAACCACTAGTACGTTTGCATCAATGTGTTTCTCAGAACAGGAGGGTTTCTGCTACTAATATCACTACGATTTGACAGAGATGTTACCAATTAACTAATAATACATCAACAACCACCAGGGTATATTTAGGGTGCTGACTGGCAGTTTCCCAGAGGCAGATTTAGTTTCTCTGATAATCAGTTTACAAGATAGAAAAAGGTGGCATTTTCTATTTTAAACCAACCCACAGAAACAAAACCGTTGAATCACTGATCTGATTAGAGAATCAACACATAACTATCAATTTGATAAGATGGAAGACATATCAGGATGTCTACTCGACACCCATTAAACACCTTTGTTTTTAACCTGTCATTCACAGGTTGTCATTCGAGGACCCAAATTTGGGTCCTCTCGTGAATGACAGGTTAAAAGTATTTATTTCTAAATCAAAGCAAAAAAATTGACACTGGCTATTTGACATTATATGTGAGAAAATGAAATTATTGATACTACATTAGAAGTGAAGGATGTTATTAACTTATAAACAATAGAAGGTTATACACTCACCAAAGTCACATAATTTAAGAACATCATCTGAACTGATAAGAAGGTTTTCTGGTTTGATATCTGAAAGAGAGATGATCTAAATCAATATCTTATTGAATTCAATAGTCAAAAAATGTAAGTAACAGTTTTATCTCTGTCTTAAAAAGTGTAAAAGAGGTTACAAATCCTTAATAACAAGCAGTGGTGATACATATTCTCATGGATTATTTTGCTGTTAAAGATTGTCTGGCCTAGCAGTAACAATAGGCAAGACGCTGAAGGCACCAAAGATTCATGAAATCAGGAACAGTCATCCGATGGTTGTAAAAGAGTAGAAGGGAAGCAAACAAATACGAATACTGACCTCTGTGTACGATTTCATTTTTGTGACACCAGTTGATGGCTTTGATGAGCTGGAAAATGTAGCTGCGAACTTTTTCCGGCGGCGCACCATTGGGAAATTCCTCTAGCAGTTCAAGCATGTTCTGAAAAACCACAACAATGACATCATGAAAAATCAGACAAACTCTGTAGCAGCAATTCCAATAATCCATCCATCCATCCACACATACATACATACATATTACATCTGGAGAATTATGCTGTGTTGAATTTTCATTAAAAAAAAAAAAAAAAAACATGGTGAAAAACTGTGTTTGGACACCCTGGTAACACAACGGGAAATACCAGTACTTACTACCAGCACAGTTTCTATGTTGCCATGGTGACACCTTTTTTTTAATGCTTAACTGAGCAGTCACCATCCTACAGCCATGGATGAAGCAGCATAAAGTGCTGTGTGCACAGCATGCAGACTCGATTAAATAAACATAGCATCGATGTTATCCTGACCCTCTCAACATATTCAAAGACGAGGTAGAGCTTCCCCCTCCTGCGAAAAGCCTCTTTGAGCTCGACGATGTTGTCCTGCTTCAGGGTCCGGAGCATCTTCAGCTCCCGAAGCGTCGTCTCCTTAACCTCCTCATTTTCTGAGTGGGCATTTAAAGACAAATATAGTTTCTTTTTTTGCACTTTTACAATTTTTCCTTATTTCTGCCCATCTTTTTTTTTTTTTTTACTCACCTTCACTGTCTTTGAACTTCTTGATGGCCACCAGCTCATTTGTTTCCTGAGAGGAACAATGCACAACAGTTTAGCTTCGTTTTAGTGGGACAAAGGTGCCTAATGACTTTAAAAGAAAGGAAGATGTGAAGTGATTAGTCTTCTGTCACTGAGCTGTGGGAAAAGCTAAAACAAAAAGGGCTAAACAATGATAGCTCTAAGTACAAAGCTAGTGTGTTCTAACAGGGCATCTGTATACTAAATATCTGTATTTGGAACCGGGATCCCTACAGAAAATAATAGAAATGCACAAGTACCCAAAACATGGGCAGAACTCAGAATCAGTCATTTCATCACAATAGTTATTGATTCGATATTAACCCATTCATAGAGCTAATGTTTGATGAAACCATGATGAAACAATAAACGATACGGACAAGAATAAACAGCTTTGTTAATGACTTAAAGTAAAGCTCTTCATCCTAGAGCAGTCTGTACCCAAAACCCAACAACAGCCACCACACATTTCAGTATCACCTTTAAGTGCACCAGTGGTTGAAATTAGAAACAAATTCAATTATACTCGATTTCGACTGCAATACCAAATGTTGAAACCCTTTATTTAAATGAACCCATTTAAATAAAGAAATCCCTCCATGGGTGATACCACGATAGAGGGCGTTCATTTTATAGCGTTAATACCGGTGCTGTAAGTGGTCCGGTATGAAACGGGTGTGATAGAACAACGGAACCACAGCACTTTTAAATTTCAATAATCAGAATACCAAAAATGTTTCAGTTGTTTTAAAAGGTTTATGTCAGTCTGCCTTTTCCTCATCGATACGTTTCCCGAACGCTGCGCACCATAGGGGGTTAAAAAACAAAAAACGACGCGCACATTGCGCAAAACTCTGAAACAAGAGAAGCGGGAGATAAAACGGAGCGACGAACTAGATGTGAATTATGGCATAAAAACAGAGAATCCGACACTGAACAGTGAAAAATCAACACATGATGTGAAACATATGACAATTAGGCGACGCAGCAGGTGATTAGTGAAGATTACTGATGGTGAGCGTGCCATGTGGGTGAAATTTTATGGATGATACTCTGATGTCCCATTCTCCTGAAGGCAGCACAGAGCTGCGCCACCAGAAACCGACAGAAACACTGAAGAGAAGAACTATGATTAATGTAGTTACAGTTCTATCCATGTTTTAATGTTGCAGAGCTCAGTCTTTTTGCAAATAGTTCAAAGTTTAAACTGGCATTGTTGTACATCTTATCTGCTCATTTTGTGGAATATTTAACAACTAGAAAATGGCACAGAACAAGAATATTTTTTCCACTGATTGGCTGCTGTTAGGCCTACAGATTTTAAGTTGAATGTTCTTTCATTGCATTTTTCTTAGACGCCTGTGAAAATAATTTCTATTCCCATGGCTTTTTTGTTCTCTGGGAAATTATTTTTGATAAATACAGAAACAAGCATAAAAATCAAAACATCTACAATAGTGATAGTGATATTAATAATAAAATAATAGTCAGTGCAAAGTAGCCTTCAAATTCTTTGGTGGGGGGCGGTAAGGACCTGGATAAAGGCTAGGGGGCGCTGGCCCAAAAAAGGTTGAGAAACACTGCTCTAGAACAAAGCCAGAAATTCATGAATGTGCTGTTTGCTTTTTGGAAAAATTCTCCTTCGGATGTATTTGAGAAAGCAAACAACCAACAAAACAACTCTGTCCAGATTACAATAAGATGTATATGATTATGCATACAATCATATTAGAGCTATTAGACACAATTTCCTGTTCTTGTTTTGATTTCTAGCACCTCTAAAGAAAATGTCTGACTCTTTAGATACCTAAATGCTGAGCAGATGCTCACCTCCCTGCTGTGACCAAAACAACACAAAGCAAACCAAAGGAAACTAATGCCTAGCAATAATTCAAAGAATACTTGTTAATGTATTTGCTAATACTTTTTGATATGTTAATATTCAGCCCATATATGTACAAATGCATTTTTGTTTACAGCCTTCTTCTGACTGATTCAGTAGAAGGTTGTACATTGTACCTTTTTCGAACCTCTTGAAGTTACAGGATTATCTAACTATCAAGAAAGTCCAACTGGGACAGCTGAACTTTATTTTTGATAACTCAGACTCAAAACAGTTGATGTTAAGTTTTAAACAAATAAAACTAAATACTGAAATTAAATAAAAAGGCATCACTACAAGTATTTGTC